CAACCATCGTGCGCCCGCTCCCGCCAATTCTAGGCCCACTAGGCCTTGGCTATTGCACGCGTCCCAGCCACCTGCGCCAGTCCCGTGCACGCCAGCAGCTCCCGTGGGCTGCTCGTCTGGCGCTCGCGTATCATCTTGTTCCGTCCATCCTCGCGCATCACAGGCCGATGCGCGCCACTCGCTCATTAGCCGGTCACCGTCGATCTTCTTGTCACAGGGGTACGGAACCCACTTCCGTATCAGCGTGCTGCTCTGCTGTACCCAACACGCGCGCGTGCTGTCCCGCCTTCCCGCATGCCTCGAGGCATGCGGCTTCGTCCGTCGCGCCCAAATCTCGTGCGCCCGATCTTTCTGCGTGCGCGCGCATCGACCCCGCGCCACGCAAGCCAACCGCACACGGTGCCCGCACATCCGCGTGCAGCGTATCCACGCCCGTTTCTCGCGCGCTCCACTCTAGTACGCGCACTTCTGCCGTTGCTCGTGCCTGTCTCCTGCGCACATGGTAAGCTCGACTTGCGGCGTTCTTGAGCTGCCTAGCCCCTTCCGCATCATTCCCGTCCCCTTCAAGTGATTCCTTGTCCTCAAGGATAAAGTTCGGGAACTGACCACGTATCTCTTCAAGATCCTCCCATGTGGCTTCTTCAGGCGGCAATTCTTCCCAGTCAACAAGTACTTCCCAACGATAGCGCCCTGCTCTTTTTACCTTGCGGTACTCAATGGCTTGTTTGGGGCGTATAATAGCCCTGCCGTCGGTTGCGGTAGTTGGCAACTCCTCACAGTATTTCTGCGCTTCTCCTAAACTCCTTTTGAGTTGCGAGACATGAATAACAGGATGGATTTGTGAGCTTTCTGGTAACTCAAGGCGATAAGCTACTTGACCAATGCGCTTTAGAATCTGATAGGGCCCATAGTAGCGGACTCCCAACTTAGTCGCGGCCCTTTGCGCTGTCGTACGCTGTCTGAATGGTCGTAGCTTCAAGTAGACATACTCGCCTGGTGCAAAATTTTCCTCTCGCCTTTTTCCGTCTGCGAAGGCTTTGGTTCGATTAATTGAGCCTTCGAGATTTCTTTAAAGCTCACGTAACATCAAATCTCGTTCCTCTAGTTCTCGACCAACCTCATCGTTGACTGTACTCCCCTCTGAATAATTGACCAATGTTGGTGGTTTTCGCCCATAGACTAACTCGAATGGCGTCATTTTGGTCGACTCGTGGTATGTGGTGTTGTACCAGTACTCAGCCCATGGTAAGAAATTTTCCCACCTCCTTGGAAATTGATGGACATAGCATCTTAAGTACTGCTCGAGTGTCCGGTTAGTTACCTCGGTTTGCCCATCTGTCTGGGGGTGGTACGCCGAGCTCATGGATAGCTTGGTCCCTTGAAGCTTAAAAAATTCAGACCAAAAACTGCTCATAAAAATTCGGTCTCGGTCAGAGACGATAGATCGAGGTGCTCCATGCAGTTTCATCACATACTACACGAATAATCTGGCAATTGACTTTGCGGTGTAAGGATGGGTAATGGGTATGAAGTGAGCGTACTTCGTGAGACGATCCACCACAACCATAACACCGTCAAATCCATTAGAATTTGGTAGCCCCTCGATGAAGTCCATGGTGATGTCTTCCCAAACTGCCTCGGGTACCGGTAGTGGTTGCAACAGCCCACTTGGCCGTCGCGAATCAGACTTAGTGTGTTTGCAATCATCGCATCGAGCTATGTAATCACGAACGGTACTCTGTTGCCCGGGCCAGAAGAAGGTGTTGGCTATTCTCATCCATGTGCGGTAGATGCCCGAATGACCTCCAACTTTAGAGTCATGGAAGTGCTGCAAGATCTGCTCGCGCAACTGCCCACTGTCGGGAACATAGACTCGTCCTCGGTGTAGAAGTAGATCATTATGCAGCTCGTAGTCGATAACAGTCGCCTTACCTTCTTCTATCGATTGGCGCAGCTCCTGGCAATGGATATCCTCTACTTGCGCCTTCCGGATCTCCTCCCAAATGGCCCAAGTAGGTCCAATGATCCCACTTAACTCGGCCACGTCTGTTCGTCGGGATAGCGCGTCGGCCACTGCGTTCTGTCGACCCGGTCGATAAATTATCTCGAAGTCAAACCCCATGAGTTTAGATACGAACTTCTGCTGCTCGGGGGTAACTATCCTTTGCTCCAACAGGTGCTTGAGCGGCTGCTGGTCGGTAACAATCTGAAATCGTCGTCCTAGTAGATAAGGTCTCCAGCACCGTACAGCCTCGACAACTGCTAGCATCTCTTTCACGTACACCGACAGACCTAACCGAGTGGTGCCCAGTGCTTTGCTGAGATAGGCTAGGGGTCGCCCCTCTCGCACTAACACAGCCCCAATTCCGATGTCACTCGCATCGGTGTGTACTTCGAACAAGACATCAAATCTGGGCATGGCGAGTACCGGCGTTGTCGTCATAGC